AAAAGTCTTCCTTCTACTTAGGGCTGGCAGGAGAGACATCTGCTCCCAAGGCAGCTTCAAGACAGTTGTTTTTTGTGTGAGTCCTTGTTGCTGCAGCCTAAACATTGTGGTGTTTATCAAGTTCTCATTGCTGTAGTCATTCTGCTAACAGTAAACGTCTGAAAGAATTTCTTTTAAAAATTGAGAGAAATAATCCTCTTCATTGTCCTTTCAGAACTAGTACTTCATAATTTTTTTTACCTGCTTCATTGAATGTATGAGTTGGCATATGAAGTATACTGATCTGTTGCAGACGTAAGAGCAGTAGTGCTGTGCAGAGTCTTAATGATGTGGGGTAAAATTTATTGCTACATGCATATTTGGATATAGAATCCTGCCTGGAAATAAATATGTGTTCGTAGATCACTTGCAATGTTTAAACTGAATAATCACTCACTGATTTTACTTCTTAACTTTGCAGATATTTTCTTAAGGAAACCTGCCAGATATTTTCTCTAGGCCAACCTGTGAAACTGGCAAACAACATTAGTCAAAGTCTGACACTCCTTCTCAGACAAGTCTGGAAAACTCCTGCCCTCTCCAAATATCTGGGCATTGCTCTCTACCTAAGACAATGAAAATCTATCCTTTTCCAGCCAGACACACACATCTATCCTGCTGTTGATCCATCTGCACTCTGTTGTAAGCCAATTGCTCCTCTCACCAAAGGTCCTTGGAGTAGAATTTATTACAAAGAACAGTAGCTATAAAGAGCACATACTAGAATTAACTTTAGAATTAATATAAATCCTGTATCGTGTTTTATAATATCTTGTGTGAAATAGCAAGGAGTAAAGAACAGGTAACTTAGAATCGCAGAATGGGTAAGGTTGGAAGGGATCACGGGGTGTCATCTGGTCCAGCCTCCCTGCTCAAGCAAAGTCATCCTAGAGCACATGGCACAGGATTGTGTCCAGACCATTCTTGAACATCTCCAGTGAGGGAGACTCCACAACCTCTCTGGACAATCTCTTCCAGTGCACAGTCACCTGCATGGTAAAGAAGTTCTTCCTCATATTCAGTGGAACTTCCTGTGTGTCAGTTTCTGCCCATTACCTCTTGTCCTATTACTTGGCACCACCAAGAAGAGCCTGCATCCATTCTCTTGACACCCTCCCTTCAGATACTTGTAGACATTGAGGAGGTCCTGTCTCAGTCATCTCTTCTCAAGGCTGAACAGGCCCAGCTCTCTCAGCCTTTCTTTGTAAGAGAGATGCTTCAGTCCTTTGTCACCCTGTCTTTTATGCTCTGATTCAAAACAAAACAGGCAAGGTAACTTGTCACCTTGTTCTTCAGGAACCTTTCAAAACGTGTGAAAGCAAGGAGACAACTAGCATTCTAAACTGTGCCCCTTGTAGCTACACAGGTAGCAAGCCTGGGATTTCAAAGGGGTCTAGACTCCATTGCTACGGAGCAGGAGGGAGAAAGGTCCCAAAAGTTATCCATGAGCTTGGATGCCTTTGGGATGGGGCATTTAGGATTTTGTAATACATTGAGTAAATAATAAAGTTGTAAGGATAATTTTTGGAGTTTCTATATGTTATTAAAAAAAAAAAACAAAAAACAAAAAAAAAAAAAAGCAAACAACAACAACAAAAAACCACACACACACACACAAAAAACCAAACCAAAACAAACAAACAAACCCCAAACAAAACACACAAAACAATCTCCTTTCCTTTACTTCACAATTCTTTCCAAAATTTTACATGGAAAGAATATTCTAACTTCTGATGACCCTCTGTCCTTAGGTAGCTCTGGACTGTGGTTATCAACAATTATTTGAATGAGGTGCAAGGAGGTAATACTTGCATGTTACTCCTCATTTAGGCTTTGATTCACAAAGCACTCTCTCACATTTACTTAGTTGCTGGTTTATTGGATATCAGAGATCTTGCACTAATGGCTGTAGGTGCTCTAACGTCTGGTCAAGAATGGAATTAAACTCCTAACAATAAAGACATGTGTCTTGATTCATGGATAAACTGAGGGTGGGGAAACCTTGCTTGACTTCTCACTAACCCTTTTTATAGCTCTGTCTGAATGTGGAACAGAAGGGATGACAAAATGCTTTCCTGCAGCACCCCACACTTCAGAACTTATCAGGAACAGAAGCAGTGATCACAAGTAGATATCAGGGTCTCTTGGAGAAAATAGACCAGGTGTCAGTGAGATTCCCGTGAGTCTTTTCAGTAGTCTCTTGTAATGCAAAGTATTGCTGAGCTGAGGGAATCATTGTAGTGTTACCAAGGAATAGCACAGGGATATATATTATGTATTTAGTGAAGCCAAATGTAGCAATGGTAACCAAATGCTACTGTGCTTAAACTTAGTATACTTTTACCTCAGCATCTCAGATCAGGTGTGAGCCGAGTGGAAAACTTACCTGATGTATGTGACTGAATAGCAATCTCTTATTTTGAAAATTCATGCACTCCAGTAGCGCTTTGTGTCTGCACAGTCATTATGGGCATTCCTTCTGTCACAGCATTAGCTGTCCGAGAGCTGAGTATCTTAGCTGATCATTGGGCATCCATTTTGGCAGTGAAGTGTCTGATGCTTCCAGTGGAACGTTCATCTCACCTCTGTCAAGTGTCTGTACTGCAAACCCATTCACAGAGAACAATTTTCAGAAGGCGATGAAGAAGGAACGGATGTACAAAACAAAACCAGCCCTTTGCTTCTGCCCCTCCCCCATCTTGAAGTAAGGATCTTAAAGACTGATTGAAACAATGCTGAATAAAATAATATCAGGCATATGGCTGTTAATTTAATTGCATTCCTTTGGCTCCTACTGCTGGTATCATTAAGTGTTTGAATGGTAGAAGCAGAGAATTCAAAATAATTTTAGTATTAAATATATGGCCTGCTGTTTGAGTGAGTGCAATTTGGATTACCTTATTTACATGCGTACTTTTCAGGTATACAAGACTAATTTGTTCTTCAGCAGAATTAGATTAATGTGGAAATGTTAGTCATTTGTATGCAGTTCCTCACTGAGTGTCAGCAATGCAGCCTAAGCTGTACAGAGGGAAACTCTTAGGAGGATAAGCTGTGGTGCTAAAACTGAGTTTTGTCTGTTAAAACTTGAGTAAGAGTTAAGCATGCTTTGGGTAAATATATCGAAGCCACCTGCTAGAAATCATTTTGGCTTTGCAGTGTTCCAAGAGTCCTGTACTTGTCGGAGCTGAAAATAAATACCATGTTGCGTTTTGTAACTTGCATATGGTACCATCAGTGATTCAGTTTCAAGCTAAAAGAAGGCTTGAAAATGGTATCTCCTCTAGGAGCCTGAAAACACTGGGGTAATTTGAGGCTGCAAGAATATTCTGTAGCTGTGAAAGAAATCCAGAATTTCAGTTAAAGACCACTTATCAAAAAATAAATAAGATAGAATTTGCCTTAATTTTTAAAAGATCTTTTGGAAACTCTCAGAGGTAGTTTGCTGATAGCTGCAGTATAAAAATAATGTGATAAAACTTTGTTCACTGCCAGTTGTTTACATCTCATAGTTCTCAAGAAGTTTAACATGCTTCCCCCCCGCCCCAAAACTGACTGAATAATAGCAGCAGAATTCCGATAGTTTCTGAAAAACACTAAGATTTTTAAGCAATGGAATGTCTGAGTTGTTTAAATACAAGAGAATACAGCAATATACATGCTTCAGAGGTACAATTATTCAGACTTCTTGTAGAGTTTAACTGGAATTCTGTTTTGGTATTTTTTGTTTACTTGTATTAATTAATGCCTTGAGTCTCCCGTTATCAAAACAGTCCGTTGTGCATATCTTCCAACTTACTTCATCATAGCCAGGCAGTTTATATTTTTAATTTATTTTTTGAAGCTGTATTATGTTACAAATTCTGATTTTTCCCTTTGTTTTATCCTGGGCCTGGGGTGGGAATAGTGCAGAGGGAGAATGACTTTTTTTAGCCTTCAGTATTTTGGCCTCCAGCGTGTCTGCCCACTTACTGAAGTAAATTATAGTGGGCAGTGTATATGTAAAAATACAGCCGGTATACAGAATGCCATTGGAAACATTATCTATCTTCTTATCTCTAAAAGAGCCTGAATAGAAGAGGTATTAAAGCTCCTAATCCTAAGAGAAAGCTATGACATAAACTGGTAGTAGATAGAAAATAGTGTCTAGTTTATCCTGTGACATCCATAGGTTGAAGTCGGCTCTTAATGTGGGATGTTGTGCTTTTTTCAACAGTTGTAGTTTCGTTTATGATGTTTTACTATTTGTTTGCTTGTAAGTGCTGTATAGAGTTAGGATATCCAAATAACCTGCACCTTTGTGTGCACTTTACATTGTTTTGGTGCAAACTTCTAAAAAGCGTGTTGATGTATAGTGACTCGATTCACTACCTTTTGATTCCATTGGGAGTTTTGATGCAGATTCCTATGGATGCCAAGACATGCCCTGATTCTGTGCATAGAAATACAGTTAGTAACATTATGAATGTCAGTGTTTTCTCTAGAGACACATTAAATCACTGGATGAAAACAACATCTGCTATAAACCATTGAAAAAGACCTGGTAACTTTGGCTGCTTAGAAAATACTTATAGAGACCTACTCTTTACATCTTTCTGTTTGCCCAAAGGAGTGAATAAACCTTACAAGCAGCCTTTAAAAATATTTCCACATTCCTGTATGAGAATAATTTTTATTTTATAATTTCAAGATCAAAAGTTAATCACTAGTTTTTTATCCCAGAGCAAGTGTTTACAAGAGAGATACTAAACAGTTGAAAATAGAGTGGCTTATAATGGAAGTGACAGCTCATCTTTAACTTTGGAAGGACAAGCAGTACCAATTTAATTAAAGCAGTGTTAAAATAAGACTGCCATTTGTATCTCAGTGGTTGTTTCTCCACGCCTCCAAAAGCCCTGCTACCATTTTGTACCACACATTCCTGTCTTGTGCAAATTAATAGATCATTTTATTTCCCACAGGAAATCTGAAGATTTTTATAGCAAATCCTCCAGTGTCAAAATGAACACAGGTATGCTGCATCTGTGAGATTTTTCTTTTATGTGTTGTTTTGTGAGCACAGAATCCAAAATTTATTCAAATTTTCATGAATAAATTGTATTTTAGTTGTTGCTGAACTCAAATTAAGCAAGATATTTTAATAATGTGCCTGCTTGTGTGCATTTGTATTCCATATATAAAATTTACATAGATGTTTTTCTATGTATGGATATATATGGATACGTGAAATATAAATGCATGTTTAGTCTTCTGTGCTTAAGTTAATGATATCAGTTTTGTGTGTTTATGTTTTATGTGAAAATACATAGTATGAGGACATAAGAGCTATGAAAAATTATGTTAAAGCATCACATTTTCTTAGGAAAATGCACATGCTTTAAAAATGCTTTATTTTCATTCTGTACTGTCATTAAATAGAGGGACCTATAAACACTACCCTGTATTAGCTACCCTTTCATATCAGGTGAGGATAAGTATTTTGTACTTACAGAGGTTTGTATTTTCTCTCAAGTTGATGTGACAGATTTATTGACCAAATTAAGTACTCTGTAAGAAGTTATCTTTGTGATCTGTGACAGCATACTAATATTTGCTCCTGAATTATTGAGGTCAATAGATAGTGCTGCTGTTTGTGTTGAAAGTGGGAATAGGCCTCTTGAAAGCAGACTACTGAAATCCTGACCTCACTCATGTCAGGTGTAAATTTTCAGTTGCAGTCAGCTCTTCAGAGTCCATAGGTGAACTGTCTGGTTTGCAGATTAACTGTGGCGCAAGGATAGACATATCCATCCTTTCCAGACCACTGGTTTTATCATTGACGATAGTGCTGCCCCACGACGGCTGACATGATAAGTGGGACTTGAGGACCTGAACTACTTTGAAGTCTGAATTTCAGCAACATGCTCTAAATCAAAGGGATTACCTTTTCCGTGGTGTAGGTTGCCATTACCTAGATCACTAAATTAATCAGGCTTCGTGGCTTCCTGTTGTCTCAGACTACTGGAACTCTGTAGGACCCATTTTTTGAACACATCTATTAATACAAAGTTAAAATGTATTGGCTTACTTGAAACCATGACATTTGTAAGTATAATAAGCCAGAGAAATTACTTTTCTCAGTTGAGATTGTGCATTTTTGCCCCAAAATTGTGGTTGTTCCTAATTATTTTTCACATGTTAACCAGGGTGGTTAGAAATAGACAGAAGATTTAAGTAATCTGTGTCTGAATGTCTTCTGTTGGGGACTGGGAGTCTTCTGATCACACAGGAGCCTTGAAACAGACTTTAAAGACCTGAACACACCTGAAAGAAATCTTTTCCAGTTACTTAAGGATATCATGACTGTAAGCTGAACTTTAGTCTGCTCTGCACTTACACAGTGAAAATATTTTTCATTTTATGTATGCTATTAATGTGCATGTTACCAGCTGTACTAAAAGAACATGTTGACAAAAAATGTGGTATTTCCTATCAGTTCTATTGATATAGATTGTTTCCTGACTGTAAAAAAAAAAAAATAAAACCTGTGAGTAGGTACAAAAGTGCACCTATCTATAGCATCACTTTATTAAGAAAGAGAGTGACTCAGGTGGAAGCTGTTTTGCATGGTGTTCTGGTCTGGTTGTTTCTCTTTTTCTTTTTTTTCTTTTTACACTATGCTGTCTTTGAACATGAGTGCTACCGTTTTGTTTTGTTTTTTTTTTAATTTTACTGCTTCGTAACAGGAATTGGTGTGTGATGCAGTTGGAGGTTATCAGATACTATTGATTTGCCACTAGTTTGTTTTAAAAACATACGTTTCGTTAACGACTCCTGCAGATAAATGAGCACTCTAGTTTGATGCCAGTAACTGCTGGAGTGGCAAAGCTAGTGTATATGCAGCTTTATAAAGAAAAAGTAAATCTACTGCTTAGACTGGGTTCTTCTAATCCTATGTTCCCTGTGGCTGCAGACTTGGCAGTCTGTCTCAGCAAACCCTGTGGAAGATATTTTTGTCTACAGAGAAAATGTTTTGAAGAGCTTTGGTTTTCAATATTCTACCATATATGGGAGGGATTTCTTACCATTTGATGTTAATTCTGTACCACGTTAGGAAGGAATATTCAACAGCATAAGGCAATGAAGCATTTTTGCAAAAGCAAAGAAATAAAGGTAAGATATAGAAGAGGTTTTCAGAGGTACCAAGGGTACTTTGGGCACATACTTCCTTTTGGTGTTCAAATGCTGTCATAATTTAAAAATAGTAGTCTAGTAGAACGTTTACCTTTTTAAACCGAGACTAAGCAATCATCAACAGAATAGTATTTTAAACTATTCTGTTTAAACCCCTAGAAAACGAGGGGTTTTCTTCATTAAATCTTGAGGTATTTTACAGGTTGATGAACACCATTAACTTGGTGACTTGATTGACTAAATCACAGAAAACATGAGCCACCCATGAAGTTCTCATCCAATTAAAACACAGGATAAATGTGCTTGCTGTTCATTATGCATAAATGCATGCATAGCTGACATTGGGGAAGAGGTAATTGCAATGAAGTATAATAAATGGATACAAGTTAATAGGCTAAAATAGGTTCTTAGTGTCCATCTATAAATATTTTGGCTGAATTTCACACAGATCATTCTTGATTAATGCATTAAATTTTAAAGTTATTAAACAAGATTACTGTTTGCATTAGATGAAGCACACAAAGAGCAGCCAAGAGTGAAAAGTATGCAATTCTGGAAGACTGCAAATGTTTTCTGTTTGTTAAAATTATTAGTAGAAGTCATCACAGGGACTAATCTCTTACATTTTGTCTGGGAGACAAGAACAGAATTTCTTGGATCCTTGCAGAGTTCCTGAATAGTTTGTGAAACCACTTTTAGGTTGCTAAAGCAAATTAGGTTGGCTTCAGTGTTCCAGGCATTCCACAAAACATTTAGTTTTTAGCAGCACCGAAGAACCAAATAATAGTAGCTTCACCTGTCATACAATAAAAGTTTGTCCGCACACCCACAAAGGAGTTCAGAGAAACAGTGGCAGGAGGGGAAGCCCAAGTAATAGCCTGCCTTGCCAGGCTACTCCCAGGCTCCTTATAGGAGCCATCAAAGGCCTATTTCCACAAGCCTAGAGAAGCATAAGGACTCAAGGGCAGGCAGGAGCACAAATTAAGGAGTCCCAGGGAATAGAGGGCGTCCTTTGTCCAGGGCTCTCTCAGGGCTGTCCCAGGAGAGTCTGTGTCCTGCTGTCCAGGCACGGAAAGAGTGGCAGACTCAGTGTCTGAGCCCCGTTGCTGGACGGATCCACCCTATATACGTGTGCCACTCTCCCTAGGGCACCTTCATCCTGCTCAGCCAGAGAAGAGAGGGGGGTGAGGCCATTGTGCCATCTGTGTTAGTGTGAGTGCTCCGAGCTGTGTGTCCAGCCATGTATGTATGTGGTGTGTACATGCGTCTGCTGGGAGCACGTCTCCAGTCTCCCTGCTGGTTGGACCTGGGGACATGGAGAGGCAGCAGATTTGTCTATCTTGGACTTTTGGATTCATATTTGCCTCAGGTCAAAATGCAAATAGGAAGTAAGAAGTGCTGGTCTAAAGACTTCTAAACTTGAGTACACTGTGCAGAAAATGGGAAAGATGATACCATTCACAAGTACTGTGAATAGAATAACAAACAGCAAACATTATGTTTGGATGATGTTTTTCTTTTCTGAGCTGTAAGAGCTTATTAAAAATTTCCTGCCCCAGCTGCTCTCTTTCACCTCTTCACACAAGGTCACCATCCTTTCATCTTTGCCAGCTTTGTTTATGCCACTACTTTTACTGACTTTCTGAAACAGTATTTTCAAGAAACCCACCCCTTGTTTTTAAATGAGAATGGTGTTGTTCCGAATTGGCTCCATCCTTCTTTGGAGCAGGACCCAACCAATAGACTATTTGTCATATCGAGATACAGCTCACTTAGGGTGATGCTGTCTGTAGTGGGAGCAGTTGCTGGAATTATGAATTCAGGGGAAAATGGTTAAATGTGGAAAGAAACGGAATTAAGGGAGAGAGAGAAAAAGAAGCTGGAATTGCATTTTAGGCAGCTGTTTTGACTGTGAGTTATTGCCCAACTTCATATTTTAGTATTGCTTGCAGACATTAGCTGGTTCAGGTCTCCTTTGCTTCAATGTTAAAGCAACATTTAGTAAGACAGGGCTCATTCCTGAACAGTTTTTCAGATTAGAAGAATTGTGAGTGTGTGTATACATATTTACCCACATAATTTTTTATATATGCATACATTTTATATAGATTGCCTCACATATCCTCATTTTTTCCTTGAGTAACAGCTGTGCAATATTAATTGCTTATAGTTTGCAAGTGAAATGAGCAGAAGATCAGTCTTCCTTACTGTTTCTTATTACTGTACTCCAGATGTAGGACTTTTTGGTCTTATTTGGACTTGAAGAATCTAGGTGAATATAGCTAATATTTACTGGCAATTTGATGTACTATGAAAAAGGAATACAGGCTGGAATAAGCCTCTTGAAGTTAACTGTGTAAGGCCACGCAGATAAGGGAAGCAGTTTGTAAACTGCCTCTTTTGAGGCAGCATTGCAGGTTCTTCTGATTCTTATTCTGATACAATGACTTAACGGGAGCTTGGCCTGAACAAAGATGGGAAGGTGAAATCCATCATGCATAAATGTGTGCTTGGCCACACACATTCATACTCTAGTAGAAATTTTGCACAACTCAATCTGGTATCAATGTACCATTATGTCTAAATTGAGTACTAATTGGCTCTCATTATTTTGTACAGATACTGATAATTAATGGAGGTACAGACTTGCATATAGGCTTCTATATGTAGGGGTAAATATTGTATGCATATATCTGTATAGTAAGTTACAACATCTGTTTTATTTAACTTGAATGAAGCCATTTCAATTTGCTAGATTATGGATCCAATCGAATAAAACTCTGACTCAGTTCAGTTACGTTAAAATTTAAATTGACGCAGAATTTCCTGAAGTAACAGTAATTAAATATTCATTGTCAGTTTTCTTGTTGTGCTCCTTTCTTCCCCCTTCAGTTTCTCTATCGTGAAATTCAGGAAGGTAGCTCTTGAAAAATACAAATAAATATCGCTTTGTTTTAATAAAAGATGTGACAGTATAACAAAATTGTTTGCTTGTTAGCTTGTATTAAATATAGTATGCTATCGAAGTCTACCAATATTCAGGTTAGAACAGAACTTCAGTATCAACACATCATCAGATCTCCTTGTAATTACCTCTGATATATGTAGAGGGTGGGGGACAGAGAACGCAAGAATGGAAAATGTGATTTTTATTCCCACTGCCATTCTATATTTATGTAAGCAAACCAAAACAAATGGGCAAGATTTGATAGCCACTGCCTTTGTTTCACTTGCACAAGGTTAGTAATTGATGGCAGGCAATGTATTGCTTTTAACTACTGCTGACTGAAATCTTTTAGCCTTTTGCCTCAAGCCATGGAATTGGCAATGGGTCTTCGGTACTGCTTACACCTGAGGCAGTGGCTCTGATGTTTGCCAATGTTAACAACTACTTAATGTGTATCCTGCAGGACTGGTGGCCAGAGGGCTCTGCTGTTTCAGGGGAATATTGGAATGAGCAAAGGAATATCAGGAGCTTGCTTCTCTTGCAGATGTGGGTTAAAGATGACTCTGTGGCTCACGTTACTGCTATTATAGGAAATAGGTTGCAGGTCCTCCTTAAGCATAATTTAATAAACCTTCATGTCATAGGTCACAGAAATAAAAAAGGCCTTTATAATACTTGTATTTCTTGATTACCTTAGCCCTATATGAAATTTCATCAACATCAAATATTAAAACAATTATTATAGTGACGAACAAAAAACTATTCTAATTAAATAAAATATATAGTTAGAAGAATATTTATTAACTTGCTTGTACAGCTATGATAGAGTTGTTAAAAAGCTAAGTCATGGGAAAGGTATCTTCCTTCTTATAATAACAGAGTATTTCTAAAATGCAATGACAGCTCCGGTGAGAGAAGAGCAGAGTAAAGAAAAAAAGACATGCAAGATCAAGAAGAAAGGGGTTTTTTCCATTCCTCATTGTTTGAAAATATTTTAAATTTTTAGTAATTCCCTCAGAATGTTATTCAGTTCCAGAGATATGTTTTTTTAATCTTCCATTAGATAAAAAAGGGGCAAAGGGAGAACAAGGATGTCACCAAAATGAAAAATTATGCCTTTCCTAGTAATTTTCTTTCTTGATCATAAAGGATCCAGAAGACTTAACAAAAGTACTTTGTCAGCTTATCAAACAGGAGCTTAGTTTTTGAATGATGTCTTCCAATGCATACAATGAAATTATTTTTCAGTGCGGATTATTGATTAATATTACTCTGGAATGTTTAATCCTTTATCTTCATTACTTTGTTTTTACTAATTAGCTGTATTTAAGCAGTCTTTCAGGTAACAGGATGTATATATTGCCCTAGTGGATTAAGTATTAAATATTACTTTCTTTGCTTATTTTCTGTGAGGTTTATTGTTGTTTAAAACTTGTGAAATTTTATGTATTCTGCTAATCTGCCAAACTTGCAAATTCACACATTTCTGCAGCAGTTCCCTAACTGCATGCTTATTTTCATATGCGTTTGGCATATCACACACTGTGATTTGTTGCATGTGCTTTCTCCCTTTGTCTGGGGCTGCTGTCTGTATTGTTTTGTGCTTCCAGATAGCGGTGGGTGTGCTCGCAAACGTGCTGCAATGTCTGTCACATTAACAGCTGTGAAGAGAGTTCAGAGTTCTCCAAACCTATTGGCCTCAGGTATAACCACTAACCAGTGAGAGACTACTTCTAAATGGCATTTTTTTATAGTGTTATGCATTCTTGCCTTCTTGCCATATTACTTTGCAAGGAGGAGAAGGGTAACCCTATTTTCTGTTCCACTGACAGATCTATTACTTCTACAGTGTTCTTTAAAACATGGTCTTAATTTCTCTCCATCAGTTTTTCCCTTGTTACATATTTTGGGTCTCACGTCACTTGTTTTTTATTCAAGATAATATAGCATGAAAAAGAGGTTTTGTTTATTACAAGTGTTGTATATTGAAATTTGATTTTAAAACACTTCTCTAAGGAAAAGAATCTGAATGTTGTTGTAAAATGATTTTCAGAAGCCAGATTAACTTTAAAAAAATAATTTATCAAGCATGTTTTCCTAAAAATATTCAAAACAATAAAAATACAGAATATTGAGTAGACAGACAAAACTGCTTCTTATCAATACTCCTCTGTGGTTTTGCAAAATTAATTTATTTCTAACACAAATTAGTATTGAATATTTCTTTTTCAGGGTCTGATTCTCAGTCTCCAGATTCAGGTAAATAAAACACTGTGTTATTTATGTATCACCAATTACAACAATCTTTTATTTATTTGATTTCACTACTCCATACTTCCTCATTCTTTAAGGAAAGCGTTGCTGAAACTGTAATCATAATCACTAGTGGTTAAGAATTCAAATTCAGGTCTCATTTGAAAGCAGTTATTTCCTATAACACAGAATATGTAGTCAGAGAAATGAATTGTGTGGGAGAAAACAGACTGCTGATTTACCACCTTTAGTTTTATCACTGTGGCACCATTCAGTGGTACTTGCTATTTCCTTTTTAGTGTCTTACTCAGGATTGCAAGTTCTGCCCACCTCATTTAGCAGCCTGCTCACATAATGTGTTAATTTTCCCAGCTTCTTACAGTATTTTATCTTCAGCATCTCCCTCTATGTTTGGACAACGCCTTGAGGGCATCTCAGGATTGAGGATAGGGAAAAAAACATGGTCGGTTGGTTGGCTGGAAAACTGAGGTGTCATTCAGATTTGGCAATAAGATACATTAGAGGAACAACCAATTGGGTATTGTGGTGAAATTTTGTGAAACTGCCATAACCAACTACCTTTATATGGGCTGGGATATTTTTCAAAATCCACCACAGCTGTGAAGTTTGAAAACCTCATCTGGGAAAGTATTTCAACCTGCTTTATACAGGGGCTGAATCACCCGCATCTCAAAAGGACTCCCAAGGTTAAAATCCATAGTCTTATGAAAGTTCTGGGGAGATCTCAGACTGCCATTACCAGCAGAATTTTCAGTCGTTGAATTTTCTAAATTTTAAAGATCAATATTGTGTAGATTGGCAGCTTTTCTGTGTTCTTTTAACGTCCATGGTAATAACAGCAGCCGTGTCAGTTGTGTAGTAGCAGAAGTTTCTGCAGTTTGTTTAGTAGCTGAGTTGCCGTGTTGAGAGCAATATAGAGATGTACTAATCACACACCAACAAATGGTTTGATTCTTTTTTCTTTACGAAAGCTTGGAGATCTTTCAATAATGGAAGTAGAGAGACACTGAATGGAGACGCTAGCAGTTCATCTCTTTCAGCAAAAGGTTTTAGGAGTGTGCGGCCAAATCTACAGGATAAAAAATCACCAACTCAGGTAAAACTGAACACACTGAGTTCCATGCTATGCCATTTGTGTGTGGGTTTTTCTGGGGGGACAGCAAATACAGATGGGATACCTCCATGGAGCATTGTCCTGAAGTCTTCCAGATATGGGTCATTACAAACTGGTTTAGACCCGGGTTCGATTCCCGGTCGGGGCCCCTCCCCGGGCAGATGGAGCTCGTTAGCCCATAAGGCAATCCATCTACGTCCTGAGGACCTCGCTGCCACCGTCCAAGCGTGCTTGGCCCCGGCAGATGAACCTCAGGATTAAAGGGTGGGCTCAGTTCCGCGCGCACTGTGTCTCACCTAAAAAATCCAATGCGCAGGCTGGAAGGTGGAAAGACCTTCCCCGGTTCTTCGTTCGCGAAGAGACTGGCCATTACTGCGTAGATAAAGCATTCTCCACACAGGCTGTGTGCCTCCAGGTTAATTACCAGAAATTACTTTCAATGAGCAAGACAGACGTCTAAATAAAAGTAGGT